GAGAACCAAAGAGGTCTTTGACATTCTTCCTTGTACAGCTCTTCTCATTAGCTGTCTTGCTACATCATCCTTGTAGTTTTCTTAGATCAGTTAGTTTCAGTGGTGGTGGGTTGTTGCAGCAACATCTTGGGTATAGTTCATAGGACACATGGGTGTTGACTGAGCTAAATATATTCCTGTTGGATTAAGAATAGGGAAAGGGATGAGAAAACATTGCAAAGCATAATATGGAGCAACTGTTGCAAAAGGTGTGTGCTATTCCGAAATTCAAACTGAGTTACCGTACATTTCTGTGTATAAGACAAGGATTTTTTAATTCAAAAATTACGTCTGAAATTGGGGGTCGTCTTATACAGTGGTACCTCGGGTTACAAACACCTTGGGTTACAAACTCTTCGGGTTGCAAACTCCGCTAACCCGGAAGTAGTACCTCGGGTTGAGAACTTTACCTCAGGATGAGAACAGAAATCGTATGCCAGCGGCACGGTGGCAGCGGGAAGCCCCATTAGCTAAAGTGGTACCTCAGGTTAAGAACGGACCTCCGGAACGAATTAAGTTCGTAACCTGAGGTACCACTATACATGAATAGTGCATAGCGGGGACATAGGATTGGTTCCTGCTGCGAGCCGGAGATTGTCAGCGGTTATAGGCCATGTTATTGGTGGCTGCGGCAAGGGCTGTTGTTGATTGGCTGCCACTGGCGAGGGGACAGACAATAGGTAGCTTTTGCGATGCGTGTGAGAGTCAGTGGGTGAGTGATTTTTGGCAGTTGCCCACCAAAAGAGCGCAACAACCTCACCCGCCAAAGCTCAACAACTCTGGGCAATCTCCCCCCATTTTCTAAATTTGGAGTTCTCCAAAATAAGGGGCGTCTTATACACGGAGGCATGTTACACCCAGAAAAGTATGGTACAGTGGTACCCCGGGTTAAATACTTAATTCATTCTGGAGGTCCATTCTTAACCTGAAACTGTTCTTAACCTGAAGCACCACTTTAGCTAATGGGGCCTCCCGCTGCCGCCGCTGTGCGATTTCTGTTCTCATCCTGAGGTAAAGTTGAAACCTGAAGTGTCTGTAACCCGAGGTACCACTGTAGTTAGTTAGCACTTTGCGCCCTCAAAAATTATTTGGGCCAAATCATGTGTTATATGGCTATGTAAGTCCTGCAACTCCCTTCCCAACTCACCTTTTTTTCTCCCCTGTTTTCCTGCTTCTGCAGAAGATAGACGAAGAGAATGAGGCAAATTTGCTAGCAGTTCTCACGGAGACATTGGACAGCATCCCTGTGGATGAGGATGGACTGCCTTCATTTGATGCACTGACGGATGGAGATGTGACCAACGAAAACGATGCCAGCCCTTCGCCGATGCCCGACGGCACCCCTCCACCTCTGGAGGCAGAAGAGCCGTCTCTAGTAAGAATCTACCTTCCTAGTGTTTAACGGGAAATGGAGGTGCCCTCTCACTATCCACTGCATGGGTATGATGTAGCCACAGTAAGGTTTGGTCTTTTCGTTTTTAGACTGAAAACCCAAAGAAAGCTTAATCGTACTTGGGCATTTCAGACAGAAAGCCCAGGATAAACATGTTTGTTGGAGAAACGATGGTATTGCCTGAATGTTTTTCTTCCAATAATGCACACTCTTGCTAATTCAGAAAGGGAATGCTTTGAATATGTGTTTTCTCATTAGGAGATCTCCAATATATGTGTACAAGTTTCACTTTTAATAATGTGTTACCAAGATGTTGTTGTTTAGTTGTTTAGTCGTGTCTGACTCTTCGTGACCCCATGGACCAGAGCACGCCAGGCACTCCTGTCTTCCACTGCCTCCCGCAGTTTGGTCAAACTCATGCTGGTAGCTTCGAGAACATAGTCCAACCATCTCGTCCTCTGTTGTCCCCTTCTCCTTGTGCCCTCCATCTTTCCCAACATCAGGGTCTTTTCCAGGGAGTCTTTTCTTCTCATGAAGTGACCCAAGTATTGGAGCCTCAGCTTCAGGATCTGTCCTTCCAGTGAGCACTCAGGGCTGATTTCCTTAAGGATGGAGAGGTTACCAAGATAGCTTATTGATAAAGGCTGGATTCACGTTTGGCTCACATCTGTTCACAACTCCTTGGATTGTGCTAGTAAGTGGGTGAAAGGAAGAGCATTCTTTTCATATGGGAATCAGCAACTGAAAACGCCTGTGCCAAATCTGAGGGCTAAGAGTTGGCTCTCCATTTGCCAAGCCAGAAAGTGGTGGCTGCTCAGAATGGGCCTCCTACAAAACTAGCCGCAGACTAGGACCCTATCAAATGGCCAGCCTCTTGCTCAGTGAACTGAAAAGATTTGCTGATACTCAGTAAAATGCCTCCAAATTTCTAAGGCCACAGCTATGCTACCAACTTTAAACAGGTTCAGTTTTTGTTCCCTCTTTCCCCTCTATGTGAAATATTTGTAATAAATAAGCTATGTCTCTGTTAGGGTGCCTAGAGTTCATAGAGTTCAACACTGTTGTCAAACTACAGTTCTTTAAAGTCTTTGAGGGAAACCACGACAGTGTTTATGCTTTGCATTTTTAGACACAAGTTAGATGTGCAGCTAAAAGATGTAATGTGTGAAGGAGCCCATGGCAGCAATAGCATAGTTCCAGATCAGTATTCTGTAGCCGAAGCAAGGATTAGAATGAGAAGGGAGAGGAGATGGTGGTAGAAAATGGAGAAAAAATGAAGTCCTAGAGTCTTTCTTTTTTGTTGTGCACAGAGCCCAGTGTGATGCCTCCTCATTCTCCTTTTCAGATATGCTAAGGGGCCCTCAAGAAATGTGTCAGGACAAACCCTACAGTTTGCTTTGTCTTGAGAGAATAGTACCCTCATTAACAGCAAATATCCATTGCTGCCAGATCTGTCACTACAAACGTGACTGCTAAGATTTTCAGAAAGCACCAACCCCTAACTTTACAAAAACCAATTCTGCTGCCAGAGGACTCTTTTATCTTTTGGTCATAATGGAATCGAGAAGTTCAGCATCTTATAGTTTTGACTATCAAGATGACTTGCAATGTACATTTCCTGAATGATTTTATCAGCTACCAAGAAGATTTGTATTCACTCTGCCTGGCAGAAAAAAACTAGCCAATTGCCAGGCCTTGTTTACTTTGAGATGTGGCATTGTCCTTCATATTGTGCATTTGTATCCCTATGCTATAGACTTTCCTCTACTGTAGGCAAAAGTTGTCTTTTGACAAGTGAATCCCACTTTGTTGGAAGAGAAGATGTCGGAACCATGCAAAAAACAATCACTTCAATCTTCAGTCAAATCACTTTACATTTGACGTCTCTTTGTCCATCTGTGGTCCATGTTAAGGTGCACCACCTTTGAAAGGTGTATTGCAAAGAGGGCTTGGCTCCAGGGCTGGCTAGATTTTATTGGCCCCTGAGCACCATTCTGTGCATGGGTCCGTGAGCTTGCCATTGTTGTTGTTTAGTCATGTTTGACTCGTGACCCCATGGACTAGAGCACGCCAGGCACTTCCGTCTTCCACTGCCTCCCGCAGTTTAGTCAAACTCAAGCTGGTAGCTTCGAGAACACTGTCCAACCATCTCGTCCTCTGTCGTCCCCTTCTCCTTGTGCCCTCCATCTTTCCCACCATCAGGGTCTTTTCCAGGGAGTCTTCTCTTCTCATGAGGTGGCCAAAGTATTGGAGCCTCAGCTTCAGGATCTGTTCCTTCCAGTGAGCACTCAGGGCTGATTTCCTTAAGAATGGACATGTTTGATCTTCTTGCAGTCCATGGGACTCTCAAGAGTCTCCTCCAGCACCATAATTCAAAAGCATCAATTCTTCGGCGATCAGCCTTCTTTATGGTCCAGCTCTCAATTCCGTACATCACTACTGGGAAAACCATAGCTTTAACTATAGGGACCTTTGTTGGCAAGGTGATGTCTCTGCTTTTTAAGACGCTGTCTAGGTTTGTCATTGCTTTTCTCCCAAGAAGCAGGCGTCTTTTAATTTCATGACTGCTGTCACCATCTGCAGTGATCATGGAGCCCAAGAAAGTAAAATCTCTCACTGCCAAAGCAAGTGGCTGGCAGTCATGCTTATGACTGATGTTCTGCAGCCTTGTTCATGTGTCAGAGCAGTCATATAAAGCTTTTTTTAAAAAAAGTTTGAGTTGAATTCCAAGGGCTCAGGTTAGCTGTGGATGCTGATAGGTGTTTATTGCTGACTCCTGGTTTGCTTGGCTCAAGTGAATTTCTCACATGGAAGGAAGACATTGTGGAGAACTGGAATCTCCTTTCTCCTCTCTGCTTCCTATATTTTCTTTCCGCTTCATACTTCTCTGCGTCGCCTGGTTCCAGCCAAATAGGTTGTGATGAAGGGGAGAATGTGCCATCCCTATGCAAGTGCATATGAAATAAAGGACGTAGTTATGTTCCTGTGTGTATATGGCAACATACAGTCATGACTCTTATGAATCTGAAAGTCTTTACCTATGCCCTTGGGCACAATCTGCATTTGAAATTGGTTGTGTGGTTCCCCAGGTAAAACAGCCCCCCCCAGCTGTTGTTTGTTAAATCACGAACGTAACACAGCATACCTTTTTTAAAAACAAAAAACAACCATCATTTTTGGCCTAGGGATAAGTACTAATATATCACTTTTTAGTGTGTAAAATGGTTTTGTAAGTCTTACGTTGCTCGTCTTTTTGACAACTCTGTGAAGCGGGCATTTTATCTTTTGTGTTCCGTGGTATCCAAGGCTAGAAGCACAGAATTCCTTCCATTTAGGAACTAATGTGGAACTCTTGTGTCGCTCATTATGCTTGACAATCCTGGTAAAGGTTCAGGGTCAGAGTAGAAGTGCCCTTCCCCTTAAAAAGCTCATGAAACAACTGGTGACACAACTCCAGTTTTGAGGGGTTAGGTGGGCAATTTTGAATCATAGAATCAAAGAATTGTAGAGTTGGAAGGGACCCTGAGGATCATCTAGTCTGACGCCCTGCAATGCAGGAATATGTGACTGTCCCACAAGGGGATCAAACCTGTAACCTTGGTGTTATCAGCACCATGCTCTAACCAGCTGAGCTACACAACTTCTCATATGATCCTCACAATATATAAAGTCAAGGTACTTCTGCCCATGCTTGGACCCTGTCAGTCCACTTAGCCAACTACATCCAGTGTGTACTGTGCAGTTTGCATGACTGACTTCTGCCTTGATTGCAGGGGATGGCCTGGGACATTGGCCATACCCAGCGATGCTTACTGCACTTCTGGTTGCACTACAGTGCTCATGCGGGAGCATGCAGGAGCTACGATTTTTTAGGACCGCAATGTCTCCAGAACCACCTCTCCCCATATGAATGGACCCAGACCCTGCAGTCATCAGCTGAGGCCCTTCTTCGTATGCCTCCTCCAGATAGGTCTGGAGGGTGGCAACACAAGAATAGGCCTTTTCTGCGATGGTTCCCCATTTGTAGAATGCTTTCCCCAGGGAGGGTTGCCTGGTGCCTTCAGTACGTATCTTTAGACACCAGGTGAAAGCATTTCTCTCTCTAGCCAGGCCCTTGGCTGATTAGGGAGGGGGGTTATTGGTGGTTTTTTTGTTTGTTTATTAAGTATTTTCTGTTCTCAGTGTGCATTTCTAGATTCTAGGCCTGCGGGACATTCATGTATGAAGCAGAATGCGTTAGGCATAGACAGGAATAGTCCGGCGTTTATAGGCTTAAACCATTTCCCAGATTTTACTGGCATGAATGGATTTATGGTTTTGCCACCCATGGAGGCCCTGTGCAAATGTCGCTTCCACGTGTGGACTTCCAGCAGCCATGGGGCAAGGCAGGCAAGGCCTCTTGTTCAAAGTCCTACTTTTCCATCTTGCATAGCTTCTATACATGTTGATATTTGTCCGAACTGGACCTGAGACTCGTAAATTCAGATAAAACCTGAGGAACGGAGATGCATAACCTTATTTCTTTTTCTTCCCAACCTTCCCCCTTCCGCACCCACCCCAAACCTTTCCCCTTGTTATCCTTGCAGCTTAAGAAACTCTTGTTGGCGCCTGCTAACACCCAGCTAAATTACAATGAATGCAGTGGCCTCAGCACACACAACCATGCAAACCATGCCAATCACAGGATCAGAACAAGCCCTGTGGTGGTTAAGGTACAGTGCAATACATATCAAGATGGTTTTAAATAGTTTCCTTTTCCCCCACTAGGGCTCAGACATTTACCCGGCCAATGCACAAGGAGTGGGATACGTCTCAAAGTTTCACCTGACTCCGCAAGCAATGTTGGATGCAGGCACTCTGTGCAGAGGTCCATATACACAATAGCCCAGTTTCCATGATCACACACACCCTTTTTCTGTGAAAGCAAAGGATCTGAAAACTGGGCCATTGCACATACAGACCTCAACACAGAACATCTTGTTATATCTGTGGAGAGGGAAAAGGAGAGATGAGCATCTACTCCTTCTACACACGAACTGAATTTTCAACCCAATAACTGCACCAATAGCCTGGTATCTTATCTCAAATTGTGGGGTTGGGGCAGAAGCAGTTCATATGTGGGGGTGAGGGGGATATCATAAAGAGAAGCTGCTTCTGTTCATTTTTTTCACTCTGAATAATTCATGTTATGCCTTCCACCACCACCCCTTCTTGGCAGCATTAACGCATTTTTAAAGGCTTCTCTTCTTTCCCCCTCCACAGAATTGTAGACAGTGCCATTAAAATATTACTGATGGGCTGATGTGTTGACGTGCGACTCCAGGCCACCACTTCACTTGCGGCCCAACTTAGAAAAAGATTATGCTGGAACCTCAGTAGAAAGGTCTATGTCAGCCATTAATTGGCTCCGATGCTGGCAGTGGTGTAATTCTGTTAGCAGGCTGTATTAAACAATGTTTGTCTTGCCATTGACTGTAACCGAAAACAGAGCATTTAGGGGTACTTAAGAGAGTTGTGAGCGCTGGGCTTGAGCAATCAGCAGCAAATTAAGGTTTAAGCCAGCTTATTTTTTTTCCCCCTCCCTGTTCGTAGTAAAGGCGCTGTAGGGTCTTGTTAGTTATATGTTGCTGAGTAGGAACATTGAAACATAAGAGAAATGAAATAAAAAAGCCGCATAAATGTCATTTAGGAATTTTAAATGTAATTTTCTTTCCTTGTTCTGCAAACAATTATTCACAGCTCATAGATCTAGTGCTCTTATAAGGAACACTTCACTGAAAATCTCATCTCTTCAGAAATCCTATATCCATTCTGATAAGGTTTGGTTCACTAATTTCAGCTTTCTTTTTTCTTTTCCTTCCTTCCTTTCTTTTATTACTTTTCCTTTTATTGTGACTTGTTTCTTAAGACTGAGAATTCATGGAGCAATAAAGCGAAGAGCATTTGTCAACCACAAAAGCCACAAAGACGTCCCTGCTCAGAGCTTCTCAAGTATCTGACTACAAACGATGACCCTCCTCAGACCAAACCAACAGAGAACAGGAGCAGCAACAGAGACAAATTCACCTCTAAAAAGAAGGCGCTTTTGCACTCTCAGACGCATCATTTGCAAGGTAGGCTTGGGATCAAAGAATAGGTTTTGCCCAATGATTGTCATTGTTGCAAGTGATCAGACCCTGGGAGGGGGGGAGGTGAAGGGAACCTGTAGCTTCCCGGAGAACATTTCCTAGCAGCTCAGACCAGTGAACAATGCTCATCTCTAAAAGCTTCCAGGAGCCAGGAAGCATTGCCTGACCCTCTCTGGGTCGGCCGAAATCCTCCACCTAGCAGCTTCTCTTCTTTTGTGGGCAACTTGCCTGAACATGGCGTACAGTGCAGAGGGGTCCCTTTGGAAGTTCCCTGAAAAATTTCGGAAAGATAGGTGCAGAAGATACAATGAATGAAACATTGTTTGAGTAGGGCGCATTGAATTTTTCAACTTCCGAATTGAGTAGAAATTATTTAAAATGATTGCCAAGCACTTGCAGTTCAATAACAATGACAATAACAATAATTTAGCATTAGCTGACATTTTCAGAAAGTTAAAATCAAAATTCTTTGGTTTTCTGAAGCAGTTTATTTCCTTCTCGATCAAATGTAGACTGAGCAAGCTAAAAGTTGACCAATCAAAAAATGCAAAACCAGATTTGAACTCCTCACACCCCAAACCATATTTTTAATACCCCCCTCACTGAAGAAATTTGCAAAAAAATTAAATTTCACCTCCTAAAACAGCATGCTGTACCGTTTGAGACTTTTTGGTCAGGGTTGTGTGGTTCCTTTGTGCCCCTTGTGTGATTATAGTGGGGATTCTTTATTTATTTATTTGTTGCATTCTTACCCAGCTTTTTTCACAATGCTCAAGGTGGCTTCCTACTCCTCATTTAATCCCAGCAACAACCCTGTGAGGTAGGTTAGGCTGAGAGGGAGTGACTGGCCCAAGGTCACCCAGTGAGCTTCATGGGGAATTGAACCCTGATCTCCCAGGTCCTAGTCCAACACTCTAACCACTGCACCACCACTGGCTGCATGGAGCCGCTGTGTTTCCTTGGAGCTAGACCAGCCTAGAGGAGTCATGCTCCTTGAGGGGTGAGGCTAAACCCATGTAGCTCTCAGCCCAGCTCTGCCTGGGCTCCCTGTTAATTGCTTAGCATAAATTGGAACGTTAGCTGGGCACATTTGTGCATGCACACAGATGCAAAGATGCATTTTTAACTAGCATAGCTCCTCTTCCTCTTGTTGTTGTTAATAATAACATGCATTTAGAACACATTCTGTGTGCAAAGCGCTTAGGGGTAAAGGGTTTAAGATTTCTCAAGTAAAGAGTCTCTTCACACACAATGGTTTTTAAGTGAGCACCTAAGGTCTGTTAAAAATACTTAAGAATACACTGAGCCTTTTGGGCTTGCCAATCAGAAGGTCGGCGGTTTGAATCCCCGTGACAGACTGAGCTCCCATTGCTCTGTCCCAGCTCCTGCAGTTCGAAAGCATACCAGTGCCAGTAGATAAATAGGTACCGCTCCGGCGGGATGGTAAACGGCGTTTCTGTGCACTCTGGCACTTGTCATGGTGTTCTGTTGTGCCAGAAGCGGTCTAGTCCTGTTGGCCACATGATCCGGAAAGCTATCTGTGGACAAACGCCAGCTCCCTTGGCCTGAAAAGTGAGATGAGCTACATAACCCCATAGTCGCCTTTGACTGGACTTAACCATCCAGGGGTCTTTTACCTTAACCTTTTACTTCCAAGCCCTAATGTGAATGTGGTATGTGTGTGTTTGCAAATGTAGGCCCTTGAAAGAAGAGTCGTAAGGGAGTCAGGACTGGCTATGCTTCTGACATACACCTGTGTATGCTATCCATGGCCTGTATGTAATAGTCCTGAGCTGAAGATAAAGACAGTTGGGAAGGAGGAACCTGAAGATGGATTTGTAGCCATGGGGGAGTTGAGGGTTAACTGGATTCCAACAGCATAAAAGTAGTGATGCGTTCCTGGGAAATAATTACTGTCCTGGACAAGCTGGGCTAGCCAGTTCATTAGGGAGCCTCTTTTATTTTCACCGGACTAAAATGAAGACATTGTTAACTTGCAATATATTCCTTAAGAGACAATAAAAGCAGCTTTCTTGCAGCTTCTGAATAGGCAATAAATGTGTCAGCCCTATTATAACTTTAAAAAACCCACCATTTTATTGTTTTATTCTCTAAACAGTGTCAAGTGTAGGAACCGTCCTGACCCCTCTTGCTCACTTACCAAACAAGAAACTTTATGGCCAACTAAGCATCCGTAATGACGTTTAGTATCCTCCAGTGTATTAAGAGGGGATTTTGGTCCTATACTAACTGCTATGGCTGGGTTGGAAAAATGCAAATGTTCTTCTCTTTCCTAGCTGAGTTGTTCCTTTTCTTGCTTTCTCCTGATGCCACTTTCTAAAGGCTTATAGGCCCAAGTAGGCTTTATTAAAGGGACATGGGTGGCACTGTGGGTTAAACCACAGAGCCTAGGACTTGCTGATCAGAAGGTCGGCGGTTCGAATCCCTGCGACGGGGTGAGCTCCCGTTGCTCGGTCCCAGCTCCTGCCAACCTAGCAGTTCGAAAGCAT